ACACCGCAAAAGAGATATGGGATGCAGTGAAGGAAACGTACTCAAATGTTGACAATACATCTGTCGTATTTGAGATAAAAAGCATTCTTCATGACCTTCGACAAGGAGAATCTTCTGTTACCGAGTATTTTAACATACTTAACAAACACTGGCAGCAACTGGACATATATGAAGAGGTTACATGGTGTTGTACAGAAGATAAAAAGAAATATAAGGAATTGGTGGAAAAAGATAGGATTTACAAATTCCTACTGGGACTAAACAAGGACCTAGATGAAGTTCGTGGAAGGATCCTTGGAACCAAACCACTTCTCAAAATTCGAGAAGCCTTTTCAGAAGTGGGAAGGGAAGAAAGCAGAAGGAAAATCATGTTGGGAACACCCAACTCAGTTCCGTACAGCGAGAGCTCTGCAATGGCAGCAAGGGGGAATCAGCCTCGACCATCACAAAAGAAAAACCGCCCCTGGTGTGATCACTGCAAGAGACCAGGCCACACAAAGGAAACATGTTGGACCATACATGGAAAACCTTCGGAGGCAAAATCGTTCAAAGGCAAGGAGGGTAGAGGTAACACAACATTTAACAACCAAGAAGCTGAGGTATACTCCAACTCATCTCCTTTTAGCAAAGAACAAATGGAGGCTCTTCAAAAACTCCTTCAGGAAACTATGTTAACCGTAGAAAAAGGTGGTACTGCTGTAGTGGCTCAAAGAGGTAATTATTTACATGCTCTAAACACTAGTAAAGAAAAAACAAAATCATGGATTGTTGACTCAGGGGCCTCAGATCACATGACTGGAGATTTCACCCTGTTTAATAGTTATTAAACATGTCCCTATAACTATAATGTTCGAATAGCCGATGGTACACATTCTAAGGTCATGGGTAAAGGATCAATTATAATTTCACCAAATATTACTCTTGACTCTGTTTTGTATGTGCCTACACTTGATTGTAACTTGCTGTCCATTAGCAAGATTACAAGAGATTTGAAATGTGTTACTAAATTCTTCCCTAACTTGTGTGAATTTTAGATTTTGGAGTCGGGGAAGACGATTGGCAATGCTGAAGAGTGTGCTGGACTCTACTTCCTCCAAGTGGAAAAATCAGAGAAAAAACTCAATAATAACTATCATGTTGCAGCTGCAGTTTCAAATGATAATAATTCTGTAATGATGTGGCACTATAGATTAGACCACCCAAATTTCATGTACTTGGAAAAGATTTTTCCCTCGTTATTCAATAAAAACAAGGAACATTTTCAATGTGAAATCTGCCAATTGTCTAAACATACCCGAAACCATTACCCACCCCAATCCTATAAACCATCCAAACCTTTTTCATTAATTCATAGTGATGTATGGGGACCATCACGAGTCCACAACATTACTGGCTCGAGATGGTTTGTCACCTTTATTGATGATCACACACGTGTTACATGGGTGTTTCTAATGAAGGAAAAATCAGAAGTAGGGAGAATATTTGAAATTTATCATAAGATGGTACAAACACAAGTTCAAAGCAATATTCAGATACTTAGAACTGACAATGGTCGTGAGTATTACAACCTTGCTCTAAATTCCTACCTTCAAAAGGTTGGAATTGTTCACCAAAGTTCGTGTGTGGACACTCCCCAACAAAATGGAGTAGCAGAAAGGAAGAATAGACACCTTTTGGAAGTGACTAGATCAATCATGTTGGCCACAAATGTCCCACAACACTTTTGGGGAGAAGCTGTCCTTTCAGCAACTCACCTTATAAATCGAATGCCTTCCCGTATCCTTAACTTTAAGACCCCACTCTCCACACTTCAAAACCTATTTCCAACCAGCAAAATCTTTTCCTCAATTCCATTAAAAATATTTGGATGCTCAACTTTTGTCCATAACCTCAACCCTCACCGAAGCAAATTAGACCTAAAATCCATCAAATGCATTTTTCTTGGTTACTCTCCTCACCAAAAGGGTTATAGGTGTTACTCTCCCCATACCAAAATTTTTTACCACACTATGGATGTAACCTTCTTTGAAAATCAGCCCTATTACACCAAAACTAGTATTCAGGGGGAGCAATCATACATACATCGTATTGAAAATTCAGAATACCAACTTTTGCCTCTTGAACTAACCGAACATGAAAAAATCTTACCAGACCAAACCGGTAACACTCAATCAGCCGAACCTATGCCTAAACCAACTGAAAAATTACTAAACCAAACCTCTAACATTCAGCCGAGTGAAAGGACAACAGAAGCTGTGACGGAAACCGAACCAATTATAGTCTCAACCACACCTCAACAGAATTGTGATCCAAAAACAGGTAACTTGAAGGTTTATAAAAGGAGGAGGAAGGAAGTAGAGTCAAGTATAGCTCCAATGCAAGGCCATGAGTCCAACCAAGCTCTAGAAAATGAAGTTCCCACCGGTAATATTCTCCCTAACTCTGAACATATTGTTACAAATACAGCAGATATGGATATTCCTATTGCTATGAGAAAAGGGGTTAGAACATGCACCAAACACCCTATTGAAAAATATATCTCCTATGGAAAACTATCACAAAGTTACAGGTCTTTTGTAGCAGCTGTTGACAACATAGAAATTCCAAATAATATTCAAGAAGCATTGCAGAAAGCTGAATGGGCAGCAGCTGTAACAGAAGAAGTTCAAGCACTTGTAAGAAGTGGCACATGGGAGATCACTGCTATACCAGAAGGGAAGAAAGCAGTAGGATGCAAGTGGATATTTTCAATTAAGTACAATGCTGATGGGAGTATAAATAGGTACAAAGCTCGGTTGGTTGCTAAGGGGTTTACACAATCATATGGGGTGGATTATGAGGAGACTTTTGCACCTGTTGCGAAGCTCAATTCTGTTCGGGTTCTACTATCTCTGGCAGCAAATCTAGATTGGCCCCTGTACCAACTAGACATAAAGAATGCATTTCTAAATGGTGAGTTAGAAGAAGAGGTATATATGAAAATTCCTCCAGGACTTGAATCACCTGGGACCTCCAACATGGTGTGTCGACTTCGAAAATCTCTATATGGCCTCAAACAATCACCAAGGGCATGGTTTGACAGACTAACAAAAGTTGTCAAACAAGATGGTTTTGTTCAATGTCAAACAGACCATACTATGTTTGTCAAGCACTCTTTGGATGGGAAGATAGCTTTGTTTATTGTCTATGTTGACGATATCGTAATTACGGGAGATGATGATGAACAAGTCAACCAGTTAAAGAAACTTCTAGCCAAAGAATTTGAAGTCAAAGACTTAGGACAACTCAAGTATTTTCTAGGGATGGAAATTGCACGGACAAAGAATGGTATTTCAGTTTCTCAAAGGAAGTACACTTTGGATTTACTTCAAGAAACAGGTATGCTTGGATGCAAAGCTGCCAATACTCCCATAGAACAAATAAAAACGAGTGAAGATGAGAATATACCAGCTAATAAATATAGATACCAAAGTCTAGTTGGAAAACTAATCTATCTAACTCACACCAGACCAGACATTGGTTTTGCTGTAAGCATGGCTAGTCGTTATATGTCAAATCCAACTGAAACTAACATGAGAAATGTTAACAGAATTCTCCAGTACCTAAAAGGTACGCCAGGTCGAGGACTCTATTTTCAAAAGAACTCAAACAGAGGTATTGAAGTCTACACTGATTCAGATTGGGCAGGATGTTTATCTGACAGGAAATCAACTACAGGCTACTGCACATTTGTATGGGGTAATATGGTAACTTGGAGAAGCAAGAAACAGTCTGTTGTGGCTAGGAGTAGCGCAGAAGCAGAATTCAGAGCTATGTCACAAGGTATTTGTGAAGGAATTTGGCTTAATCGAATGCTAGGTGAAATAAAAATTCCTACCAAACATCCTATGAAGATATTATGTGATAACAAGGCTGCTATAAGCATTGCGAAGAACCCAGTTCAGCATGATAGAACAAAGCATGTAGAGATAGACCGACACTTCATCAAGGAGAAAATTGATCATGGAATTATAAGTGTTAACCATATTCCATCATGCCAGCAAACTGCAGATATTCTAACAAAAGCCCTTCCAAGGAACATATATGAGAATATCAGATCCAATCTGGGTATGATAGACATCTACCACCCAGATTAATATAAGTGTTAACCATATTCCATCATGCCAGCAAACTGCAGATATTCTAACAAAAGCCCTTCCAAGGAACATATATGAGAATATCAGATCCAATCTGGGTATGATAGACATCTACCACCCAGATTGAGGGAGAGTGTGGAATAATCAATACAGAATCAAATGATTCTGTTTGTACAGCTCATTAGGATTAGGACTAATGTAATTAATTAGTTATTATTTCCTGTTTTTACTGTAATTAGAATTAGCATTTATGGGAAAATTAATTCTCCTGATTTCTAGGACAAATTTCCTTTTCAAACTCTGCCTTATGTATTCTATAAATACTGCTATGTAACTCTCATAAAATACAAGGAAATATAAAGTATATTTCTACAGTTAGCATTGCCCCTTGCCTCATCAACTCCATCGCAAGTCCTAACATATCACAAAAATATTGATATCATTCACGAGTCTACTTAAAAAGATTAAAGAACATTAATAGCCTGAAACCCAAATCAATTACTTGAAGTTAGCCAATCCTGGATCACAAAAATGTTGTAGGCAATACTTTCTCATCGGATGACACAATCAAAAGCATTAGCAAGTCACCTGTAGAAAGGAAAGCCATGAAGATGTGATGTGGATAACGAAATTAGATTATGTAACCATAACGATTGAAAGTTTGGATAATGAGCATATAAACTATTGACAGCCGAAATAAAAAACATTAATTCCATCTTACTGAGTTTAGGGAGCATTGCACCAATAGTCTCTGGATTTACAGGAATATGTGGCTCATACATGTGTTGACTTCGGAATGAATGAAAAAGAGGAGACGGTACATTAGATCTTTTCGGGTCCAACACAAAAAGTAAGTTCACAAGGCTAGACTTTGATTGGGAATCTTCCAATGCATAGCCCAAAATTTTTGCGACAAAACTGCATGTTTAGAAAAAGTATAAATATAACAATTATTTAACAGATACATATCAAAAGAAAAACCATGAAGTTTCCTGATGCAAATCTTGGGCTTGATAATTTAATTGCTAGAGTAGATGAGGCATTTCGTGTTATTGTACATAATGATTTTCAGCTGCATTGGCATTAACTTCAGTAGGACACGTTTAAATAAGGAAGAAGAAAGTTGTAAGATAATTTGCAAGGAAAAAATCAAGGCAGTAAAGAACCTATATAATTCAGACGCGTGGTCATCGACAACCTATATAAGTGCAAATGCGTTGTTATCGTATAGTTAACATGTAAAATTTGGCTCAGAAAAACATAAAGCTGGATATATGCTTCACTTACAGATGGACTTAATTTATCAACAATCATCTCAAGCAGGTTGCTCTCGGCCAACCATTGCATCACATCAATAAAGTTGGGATACACATGATCATCGGCACCTAGTAATCGAACCAAAACCTGCGCGAAGAACAAATCTCAGAATCAATTATTACCAATCCAAGGTACTGTTATAATTAAGAACGGAAAGGCAAAAGTTCACCTCCATAATGGATGTGATTCCAATCAAATCAACCAATTGGCGAAAAACATTCTGATGGGCCTACAAAAAGTAACATATTGTGATGCATGAGTTTTTCTATCTCCATAAAACTGAAAATGTCAAATAGAATCAGCAATATAGAACTGAACTGTATGAATGCATTTTTTAACTTGCCTGAACATAATTCATAAGCGACACTGTCTTTCGAATCATTAGGCAAACGACAACCTGCAAATGACATAGAAAACAATGCACAAAATTCAACAACAAAAGAAAATGAAATTCAATTCGTGAAATGAAATTAGGAATCGAAAATGAAACCCTGCAAAAACAAAAACCATCACCAAATTTAAAGAGTAAAAAACCTCAAAACACCAGATTCATTACCACCATGAAACACCAGCAGTAGTAGCAGCCATTCTGAAAATCACAAAAACCTCAAAAACCCAGTAGAAAATCCTTGACGAGAAGAAGAAAAACTGAGATCAGAAAGGAGACAGAGGAAGAATATCCTAACCTGAGTGTTGGTAATACGAATGGAACAACAAACAACAAACCACATAATACCACATAGTAAAACGAAGATACATGTGCCATTAAAAACGATGCGTCATTACAAACAAAACGATGGTGATGATGATAAATCTGAATCAAAAAACAAAGCGAAATCAAAAAAATAAAACCATGCCATTACAAAATGAATACACAGACGAATAACGACATACATTGTAGCTTGCAAGGAATGCGATGAAATGCCCGAAATAAGCTATTAACAAAAATGGAAGAGAGAAAGGCAAGAGAGAGAAAGGAGGCGGAGGCGGTCTAGGGTTTTCAGATAAAGAGAGAACTTCGGAAGAGAGAAAGGCAAGAGAGAGAAATGTAAGAGAGAAAAGGTGAGAGTGAGAGGGAGAGGGAAATGGTAAGAATTTTTCAAAAAAATTCTGCCACTTGACAAAATTGGTTGTTCTGATTGGGTGAAAGAATAGAATATGTTAATTACTGTTATGACCTTGAGTTGGGCATAATGATTTTAAGTGTGAAGGGTATAACCGGTAGAATGGTGGCAATCCCTTGCAATGGGTAGGTAGTTGATGTAAGAGAGAGAAGGTGAGAGTGAGAGGGAGAGGGAAATGGTAAGAATTTTTCAAAAAATTTCTGCCACTTGACAAAATTGGTTGTTCTGATTGGGTGAAAGAATAGAATATGTTAATTATTGTTATGACTTTGAGTTGGGCATAATGATTTTAAGTGTGAAGGGTATAACTGGTAGAATGGTGGCAATCCCTTGCAATGGGTAGGTAGTTGATGTTTATCGAAAGTGGCCTTGGCCCATTTAGGTTGTGTTAACCCCAGCTATTTAAAGGGTAATATGTGATAGCATAATGTTTCAATGAAAATTCAAAAAGTTTTTCTTATGTTTTCTTATGCAACCTTGGATCTTGCTTAGCCTTAGTATAGTCTATCATTGATGTTTTCATTCATTGAATCCATGCCTCCTAAAGTTTCCAATCCTTTTTCTAAAGATTTAGAAGAAGCTATTCAAGTTACCCGTGATCATATAGATAATGCAATCATCCACACACTCACCATCAAATAGATGAAAGATTCCACAATGCAAGTCAATATATGGAGCGACAAATTGGGGAGATCCACACCATAATGGATAACCTGCAGAAGATTTCTGACTCTAGACATGACAACATCATGACTATGCTCACAAAATTGATGGCTCAAATGGGATGCAAAACACACCGACATCTACTGCTTGCACAACAGTTGGTTCATCCGATATACCAATATCTTCACAAAATACATCTATTATCCCACCTACCATTTCTCCTACTGTCAATAATTCTTGGCTTAATCCTTTTCTCATTATTATTTCTCGTATATATAGAGGTTACAGGGCTATATTGGTAATTACACTAAATAATTACATTTTAATGAGAACAAGTCAATTTCTAATTTGTTTCCTTTATTCTAGAAACAAACCCTTATTCTAGGAACAAACCCTTATTCACATCCCCCCTCAAATTGATGCTGCTTGTCAATAAGCATCAATTTGCTAACAAGAAACCGATGACGTGGACGCGGAACAGCCTTGGTAAGAATATCTGCAATCTGCAACTGAGTACTGACATGAGGAAGTGATATGATTCGGTCATCATAAGCATCACGAATTGAGTGACAATCAACTTCAATATGTTTGGTGCGTTCATGAAAAACAGGATTCGCAACAATTTGGATGGCACTTGTATTGTCAGCATAAAGCGAAGTTGGCTCTATTTGAGGAAATCCAAGTTCAGCCAAAAAACCACGAAGCCAAATTATTTCAGAACAAGCAGCAGACATGGCACGATACTCAGATTCAGTAGAAGATTTAGAGACTCTCGCTTGTTTCTTACTTTTCCATGAGATCAATGAAGAGCCAAGAAACATGCACCAACCAGTGACAGATCGTCGAGTATCAGGACACCCTGCCCAATCTGCATCACTATAAGCACTCAATTTAGGAGCAACTCCACTAGGAAAGAATAAACCACGATGAGAGCTTCCCTTCAAGTAACGAATTATACGACGAACTGCTGCCAAGTGAAGGTGGCGAGGAGAGTGCATGAATTGACTTACTTGTTGAACAGCAAACGATATGTCAGGGCGAGTAATAGTCAAGTAATTAAGGCTACCCACGAGTTGACGATACAATAAGGGATCAGGCAACAGATCACCATCATCACGATGATATTTAACATTAACCTCAAGCGGAGTATCCACTGGATTAGCCGATTGGAGACCAACCATGGAAATTAAATCTGTGGCATACTTGTGTTGATGGAGGAATATGCCCTTGGATGTAGAATGAACCTCAAGACCAAGAAAATAATGCAAATTACCAAGATCTTTCATATGAAACGCTGCTTGTAACTGCTGTTTAAGGCTTTGAATGGAAGCATGATCAGAACCAGTAATAATCATATCATCAACATACAGAAGAAGTAGGACAATTCCAGTAGACGTTCTATGAATAAATAGAGAAGAATCATACTGACTCTGAGTAAAGGAGAACCCAAGTAGAGTGGAGCGGAATTTTTCATACCATGCTCTAGGTGGTTGTTTCAAACCGTATAAGTAGCGTTTAAGCTTGCACACACCCTTAGATGATGAAAATAAACCTTGAGGAGGAGTCATATAAATGTCTTCCGCGAGGTCACCATGAAGAAAAGCATTTTTCACATCTAATTGATAAAGAGCCCACCCGTTAGAAGCAGCTATAGAGAGTACCGTACGAACGGATGTCATTTTAGCAACCGGTGCAAATGTCTCATCATAATCAATTCCATATTCCTGCTTGTTTCCTAAGGCAACCAAGCGAGCCTTGAAACGGTTGAGGGACCCATCCGAATTCAATTTCACAGAATACACCCATTTGCAGCCAATGGGTTTGACATCTGGAGGACAAGAGACAATATCCCATGTGAAATTCTCTTGAAGAGCTTGAAGTTCCTCATTCATTGCTTTTTATCCAACGTACATCTTTAACAGCCTGTGAATAACAAGTAGGAATAGATATGCCAGAGAGGGTGGCAGTTAGAGAAGTATGTGCTGAATCATACCTGTCTGGTGAATATCTGTCTGGTGCTCGAGATATTCGAACAGAACGTCGTGGTTCAACCGTTACAGGATCAGGTGGCGGTTCAGCGTCGGGAAGGGGTGTGGGAACCTGCTGTTTGTGTTTTCTGACATATACATGACCTGATTTATAACGCTCTATAGATTGAGGCATAATAGAGAACTTAGGAAGAGTAACAATATCATTCATGACAGGAGAAACACATGGAAACATAAACTGATTATCAAAAAATGTCACATTCCTAGAAATGCGAAAACGATGGTTAGTGACATCATAACACACAAATCCCTTATGTGAGTGACTATACCCCATAAACGCACATTGAACAGACTGTGCTCCAAGCTTATGTCTTTCAAATGGAGGTAAGTGCACAAAACAAACACATCCAAAAATATGTAAATCATTATAACTAGGCTGAATTTTAAAAAGGCGAAAGAAGGGAGAATCAAAATCAATAACCGTAGAAGGAAGACGATTGATCAAGAATACGGCTGTGGAAAGAGCCTCAACCCAAAATCGGGATGGCACAGAAGCTTGAAGAAGTAATGTGCGTGTTACATCAAGCAAATGACGATTCTTTCGCTCTGCCATCCCGTTTTGTTGAGGGGTATTGGGACAAGACCGTTGAGACAAGATCCCTTTTTGTTGAAGGTATTCCTGAAATGCATGAGACATATACTCACCTCCCGAGTCAGATCGAAAAATTTTAACACTTGCTTGAAATTGATTTTCAACATATGTCAAAAACTTCTGAAACATAGAAAACACTTCAGACTTAGATCTAAGAAAATATATCCAAGTAAAGCGGCTGTAATCATCAATAAATGTGACAAAATATTTATAGTGAGCATGAGATGTTGCAGGAGACATTCCCCGCACATCACTATGAATCATCTCAAAACAAGTAGAAGCACGATGAGCGCCTGACGGAAAAGGGAGGATTTTACTTTTAGCCAATTTGCAAACAGAACATGAAATAGGAGTAGTACACGCATGTTTATTTCCCAACAAACCAGTTTTAAATAAATGAGACAAAACAACAGAATTTGGATGGCCTAATTTTCTATGCCAATCCTCATAAGAGTTCAAAACAGTATTACATGCAAAGGATAAATGACTAGAACTAAACTGGAGTGGAAACAATCTTCCCACTTTAGGCCCCTTCGCGATCACCTTTCCCGACACCTGCTCCTGCACAAGACAACCAACACGAGAAAAACTAACATTACAATTGTCATCCACCAATTGACCAACCGACAATAAGTTGGAAGCAAGTCTGGGTGATACAAGCACGTCACGAAAGTTTGAGTCTATGTCACCAACATCAGTGATAGAAAGTTTATTACCATCAGCAATTTGAATTTGCTGATTACCATTATAGGAATGTACATTTTGTAAGTATTTAGAGGAACCCGTCATGTGATTGGATGCACCAGAATCAAGAAACCATGATTGAGAATTATTAGAAGACTTACCCTGAATTCCCAAGGCTGAAAGAGCAAAAAGTACCATTTGGTGAATCATTTCAGGTTGTAGAACACTACCGGTACCAGTACTGAGAGGACCAACTTCAGAGTTGGTAATGGCATGGAATGCTTGAGTTGGACGTTGTACTGGTCGGGGAAGACGTGTGGGACAGTCAGAGATGATATGACCCTGTTGTTTGCAATAGTTGCAAAACTTCTTACTGCAATTGCGAGCTACATGTCCAAATTGTTTGCAAGAAAAACATTGAACTTGTCGCATATCACGACCCTTTCCTCTACTTTGAGCAGCATATGCAATTGCCACAGGTTCGGAACTAACAGCATCATGAGACATGGTTCCTTGCGTAAGTAGACGTTGTTCCTCCCTTAGAAGTTCACCGACACAAGTATCAAAAGAAGGAACAGGATTCCTATTGAGCAAAGCGCCTCTAACAATCTCGAATTCTG